TTAACATGCATGCGAAGGCAGCAAATGACTGCCCAATGCTTGTGTCGCTGCAACTCGTGTGGGAGACCCAGACAGAGTTCCAAGCTCCTAGCTTCAGCCTGCGCCAGTCCTAACCACTGCAATCATTTGGAAAGTGAACCAGCAGGTGGAAGATCTTGCTGTCTCTCCTTCTCCGTCGCTCTTCTTTTCAATTGAGTAAAACAAATCTTCTTAAATTAATTTATTTTATTAAGTTATGTACAGTTTCTTAGGCTCTGGGATTTCCCTTCTTCCCTCCTCATGTCCCCTACCCCCACCCTCCACCCAGATTTGAAACAGGAAAAAGTTTTTAAAAAAAAATCCTTGTGGCTATAACTATCTGAAAACAGGAGTTCTGGAGCCTTCAAAGTGTTTAGCAACTTCTAACTGCACGCCCTTGCTGCTCTCTGCAGACTTCAAAGCTTCTGATGTAACCTAGAGGAGACCAAGGTCATGGCTGACCACCAACGACCTGTGTAAGTCCTGCTCCCAATCAACAACTCGCTTATGTGTTCCCCTGCAGTATTTGATGCTGCTAACCACCTTCTTAATGCTAAAAGTAAAATGTCAATTATACCTGATAAGATTTCCCCAAATAGAAATTTCATTTGTTATAATCTACAATCCACTTTATATCACACAAACATGTATGTGATCCTTATCAATGTTTTTACTAGTTAAAAGCCATCTCCTGTTTTTAAGAAATTACATGTGAAAACTAAAGAGGAGAATTTGTTAGTTAACTCACAACCCAACCTCTTAGATTTATATAATCTCTACCCATGAGTCAAAAAAAAAAAACCATGATTTTTACTACTGGCCCTTGACAGAGAGACTAAAACATCCGAAATATTAACACACTTGAAAGAAAGCTGCAGATATTCTCCCGAACGTCATGTTTTCATTCAGTAAGAACTGTTCCCCCTCGAGCCAGAAGCACCCATGCAGGCTGTGAGAGGAGCTTCAGCTCTCCTGTGACAATACCGTGGTTTCCATTCATCCATCCCTCAAACAAAGTAACACGCCTCTCAGACCTATCAAACATAGTCTTGTACACAGTGGGATAAATTTGCAAAAAGAAGATACTTCGCATTGTTTGAGGAGTCCTGTGTATATACCTCCGTTGCTCCAAAGGCCCATTAACTAATGTTAATTAACATAAGCAGTTCTGCAAAGGAAATGCAGCTTTTCTTTAGGAAAAAAAAAATCTTTTTTTTTTCTTTTTTGAGCAATCAGCTCTCATTTGTAAGAAGGGAAGAGAATGTAGGGAAAGGAGGTTGCTGGGAGCCCAGGAGACCCCAGCAGGAACATGATGGCTGTGGGATTCCATCTGATGGGAAGCCTATTGGGGTTAAAAAGGAAAGATGGCAGGAGAATGAGATTCAAGCAGAGCAGCAAAGCTCTGAACTGCCTTCTGTGACTGGCTGCTCTGAGCTCTCTTCAATAAGAAGAACTTTCACAAGGAGGGTTTTTTGTTGCTGTTGTTTTAATCTACAGGTGGACAACTCCAAGAACATTATACTGCTTCTGAGAAGAGCTTCAGAAAATAAGGTGCAAATATGTCAGTGGGATTTTAGGTTGTTTTTGAAACTTGTGCAAGGCACCTGGAGCTAAAATAAAACCTCCTGCCATTTCATGAACATTGGAGGATTTCTGATTTTCTAAGACTTGGAAAATGACACACCTACTGCTAAAGAATATCAACACAGTACATTTCTATGTTTTACAAGCATCATGGTAAAAAAAGATAGTTTTGCTGTCTTAACAGGAGAAACACAAGGTAAGCATTTGGTAAGCCTAGATCCATTTTTCATCTCTAGGTTTCCAGCTCAATTCTGATGAACTGACCAGCCATCACCAAACTGCCCCTGAGCCTAATCACCAACACTGACATACTTGTGGTGGGCCCCTTTGCTCCTGATGCCTGCTCAGAGTCAGAGGTTGTACCTCTACCACTTGATGCTGTGATTAGTAGGCCCAAGACGAATCCCACATGCCCATGTGCGCACCTGGCCACCACGTGCTGGTTACATGGAAGTGGCTAAAGCATCGTCCTTGGTGGAGATAAAACTTTTTCTCTACTACGGAACAAAAATACCCATCTATGCTTCTGAATATTTCAGACACGGTATAAGCACAGATGCTGCAGTGCAGGTCAGAAAAACAGTTCAAATAGACAAGGTTATGGTTATCAGATTTAACTTACAGTTGTGCCACTAGCTTCCCTGGTGTCCAATAAGTGTATAGAAAGAGGGTATGTGCGGATGAGATGAGAACTTGTCACAAATATTAGGATCAATCCAGTTTTATGTCCACGAGAGACTTCAAAACAAAACAGAAATCCCTTTGGTGGACAGAACTGGATAAAATATCAGCCTGGAATTATTTTATCCCTAATGGTGAAAGCTTCCACACACTGGCTCTGATTGAGACTACTCATGGAACTTTTGTTTCTGTGTAACTTATGAAAAAGAAACTTCGAAAAATCCTAAAGATTCAGAAAGACGGTAATGGTTTCAAACACAAGCCCCATTAATATTGCTTCAGTAATTCATCAACACACTGACTGAGCAGGCACAATTTGTCAGACACTGCGGGATGCAATGATGAAAACAAAACAAAACAAAAACCCTCTGTTCCTGCTTTTGTGGGGTTGACCTCTAGCAGAGAAGAAAGTGCTCAGAGCACCATGCACATAAACGCATGCTAAAAACAGACAGGGCCGGGAAGGCAGGAACACAGCACCACAAAGGAGACAAGTGGAGACCAGAGCATCAGCCAAGATTTCCAAGGAAACAGCGCTGAGAGTTAGGGAGGAGGCAGGTAGGTACAGGGGAGGGCTCTCCAGGAAGGGGAGGGCTACCAAGGAAGAGAGGCTGGACCCCCTGGAAGAAAGCAGCTCTGGCATTCAGAGAGGGTAATGGTCAAGTGACTGCAACCTAGAGCAAGCAAGACATGCGGTAAAAAGGGACAGCAAAGGAAAAGGCATAAAGTGCATCCCAAAGGAACATGAGGCTAAAGACTTCTTCACTTTGTCCAAACAGAAGGCGAAGGATTTTTTTTTTTAAGATTTATTTATTATTGGAAAGTCAGATATACAGAAAGGAGCAGAGAGAGAGAACAAGATAATTCACCCTCTGATTTGTTTCCCAACTGGCCGCAATGGCCGGAGCTGTGCTGATCCAAAGCCAGGAGCCTCTTAGGGTCCCCCATCCAGGCACAGAGTCCCATGGTTCGGGCCATCCCTGACTGCTTTCCTAGGCCTCAAGCAGGGAGCTGGATGGGAAGTGGGGCTGCCGGGATTAGAGTGGGGGCCCATATGGGATTCCAGCAGCACGTGCAAGGCAGACTTTAGCCAACAGGCTACCACAGCAGGCCATGTGAGAAGGATGTTAAAGAAAGCAACTACATCTGATTTTCACTGGAAAGGATCACCTACAGCCTGTGCAGAAGAAGGGGTATAAACACGTGGACAAGAACAAGGCCTAGCCTCAATTTGGCACAAGAGTAGGCAGAGAAACAGTAGGGGTTCACTCAACAGCACAGGCAAAGGACAGAGGCAGCTGGCCAGGAGGTGCCATGGGGTGCAGAGAATGTGGCCAGCCTCATGGTCTTGAGTGACACACTGAAAGATACCAAGATGAAGGAAGAATATGGAAGGTGGGAGTGACTTGGGAAGCCCTGGCTTGCGGTGGTGGATACAACACCAGAAAACAACCTGTGTGTGGTTGAGTGCATGAATGATTCAGCTTGCGAGTGACCTGAGGCAGAAAATGAAGATGCCAAGTAGGCAACGGTCACATGAGTAGGTCTGGAGTGGAACCTGAGCAGAACCACAAACATAGGAGATACATCAGGAAAGCGTGCAAATGAGTGAGCCGACTCCGTGTGTCTCTCCCAGGGAAGGCTGTGTGTGACCTCCTGGCAAATGCCTACTGGGTGCATTACAAAACAGCATGCACACTGCACTTACTGTTAAGAACACATACAAGAAACCTAAGCGCACAGTCTGCAAGAGGAGTACACACTCAGACGGCACACAGTGAGCTGGGGCGAATGTGCCAAACTCTTGAGCTGCTCCTGTGTTTGACTAGGTTTGGGTGAGGACAGATGAGTGACAATCAGTGTACGTACGCCCATCTGCATTGTTGGCTCTCGTTTCTCACAATGAGCCCTTCATCACCACCAGGCCCCAATTCATCCCAACTTTCTCGGCATCCTCAATCCTACCTCACACCCTGACTCCCCATCCAGGTTAGCTGACAAAGAGGAAAGAGGATGCCTATTCTGTACATTAAGTAAGTAAACAGAAAAGGAGCTTGGTGTTCACGTTTAAACTGCAGTCTAATCACTGGAAAATACCCTTCCTGCTCCTGAACGGTTTGAGAATACACGGGCTGAGCAGTAATTCCAGCTGGATGATGGCCAAGCAAGTGTGGGACCCACTGACCACGCTGTCTCCTTTCACCCACTCCAAGTGCACCAGGAAGTACAATGACATCCAACAACCCCCCATGCTGAGGAAGGAATGCCAAACAACTGCCCCACCGAGGAGAGAGCTAGACCAGGAACTTGAGCTAGCTGAGCTTACACCAGCCAAAGGAAAATGAGTGGAAGGATCAGTGGCTCTCATATAACAGCTTGCGGTTTATCCCACATTTCCTACAAGTTACTTAACTTCATCATTCAGCACCTTACCAACCCATGTGTGGAAAAAAAAACTGAGCAATTGGTTTTGAAATACCGAGGCCTCTCCTTGACCGAGGATATGATTTTCCTAGAACAAAGCAGGTAAAGGGTGAAACGGAAGCATTGTAACATCAGAAATCAGGACAGAACATGTTTATCCCCATGTGAGCTTACTTCTCCTGTTCTCTGATCTAAGTCACCTTGTCCAGCAGCTGAACAATGTGCTAACAGTCGTTAATTAGCGTGCATTCTGCAGAGACAGCATGATAACTGCTCAAGGATGTAAACCATACCAGCAAGGCAGGTGCAGGTGAAACTGCTCCCCTTGTGCTTCTCGTTTGCATCAACGCAACTCCCATTGTTCTGGCAAGGTTTCCTCTGGCAAGCGTCAAATTCTTCACAGAAAGTGCCCACATACTGGTCCTCACAGGTACAGGAAAACGTTGCCTAAGATAATAAAGAAACACAGTGTAAGCCATCTGGGTTCCTTAAAAACGTGTGTGCTTACAGTGACAAGTCACCACCGGGGCCGATAACAACACTAACAGTCATTTGTCCTATCAGCTAAATCGTGATGAGGTTAAGATCTCAGATTTCTGGGAAACAGCATGTGTTTCTTTATCATTTAATTTCAAGCATGTATTTTTAAATTCACAGTCTTACTTAATCCAAACATTTTAATCAGCCTGAAATAGAAAGAACAACTTATTTTAGCCTAAACGTGAAGTTTCATTGTCCTGGAATGAAAATAGCAAATTTTGTTAGGCAGATAAATTATACTACAACCATTAAACTAAATGTTGCTCTAACCAAATAAAACCAATCAGCATCAACTGTGCACATACAGAAATGTCACCAAATGTCGTGCTTGGACTGTGCTTCCAGGGCAGACCGAATTCACTAAATGGCTCTGTAAACAGCCTCGTGCAGACTCCCCGAGGAAAGGGAAAATAAAAACAGTACTATCCAAGCCTCCATGAAAGACCACAAGTCTGGCTTCAATGCCCACCTCAAGCAATGTAGATCACTATAGGACATTTTCAAGAAACAGAAAGGAGGGGAGATGGAAGAAAGTGGGTTAGTGTATCTTACTCCTTAAAAACAAACAAAATGGCCCAGCAAGATAGCCTAGCGGCTAAAGTCCTCGCCTTGCACACGCCCGGGATCCCATATGGGCGCCAGTTCTAATCCTGGCTGCCCCGCTTCCAATCCAGCTCCCTGCCTGTAGCCTGGGAAAGCAGTCGAGGATGGCCCGAAGCTTTGAGACCCTGCAGGGGAGACCCAGAGGAGGCTCCTGGCTGCTGGTTTCAGATTGGCTCAGCTCCAGCTGTTGCAGCCACTTGGGGAGTAAATCAATGGACAGAAGATCCTCCCCTCTTTCTCTCCTCTTCTTTGTATATCTGACTTTCCAATAAAAATAAAAATAAAAAACACAAAACTAAGCAAAACAGACAAAAGCATCTCTCCAAGCTGTCTTCCCAAACCCCACACGTCACTGCTCTCCCAAGCCAGTGACAGGGAGCTGGATCAGAAGCGGAGCAGCTGGGCTTGGGCTTGTGGCCAGCACTGCAGCCGATGACTTGGCCTTCCAAAGTTCTGCCCAGAGTCACCAGGCCCTCGCCCAACCCACCTATGCTCTGATCCCACTCCTGCTCCTCTTCTGAGGTCCTTCCCTTCCCCTCGAGGGCACCACCACAGCAGCTCCCACACTGAGAGAGACAGTTGCTTCACGTCCACTCTTTCAAAGTTCCGCCCCAGCCACCAGTCCTTTGTCCATCCCACCTCTCCTTGGATCCACTCCTGATCCTCATCTTAAAGAGACTCCACCTCTCCTCCAAGTATTCTCCATCCAGGTTCCCACCCAGATTCTCTTCAGCACAACCCTGTGTCTGACCTCCTCCCAAAAAAGGAAATTTGCATCCAGTCTTGGCTATAACATGTAATTACTTCTGTCCAGTCTTACAGTTCTGGTGCATTTACTAACCAGCTTACTAATGCATATTTTTGATTTCCATGTAGCAATTGATACTCAGATATTTCCTTCATCCTATTCTTATAACACTTATCTTACATTTTAGGGATTATTCTAGAATGCCAGGTTATTGGTACAGCTGTCCTACTGAGCATTCAGTACAGATCTGAGTTTTTAGCTGATTTTCAGCTTTTCTAGGTAACACAAAACCAAAAAGGGAAAAACCAGTATTATCAATTTTAAATAATAATGTCACCACCTCAAATACAGCTCCCAATGTATTACTGGTGGTTCTCTCAGATTAAGTTCGGCCTCCAAATGTTGTTTATAGAATTTATCACTAACTAGAATATGGAACAATTAGGGGGTTTAATCAAGTGCCATTTTAGCTTTCACAAAAATTACCTAATGCTTTCATGTATGAACAACTGACTGCTCATCACATGAATTGAATGTGTAGGTTTCCAAGAACTGATTCAGTCTTACATTTTTGGAAGAAATTGTCACTTAGGTCATTACACAAAATGGTTTTACTGTAGTTGGATTCTATTTGTACCAATGCTTCTAGAACCTCTCATCTAACAGATGCCCTCTCTTCCCAACAGACTCTTTCCTAAGATCCTTGCACCAAGATCCTATTGGTTTTCTTTTAGATTTATTCATTTTCATTGGAAAGCCAGATCAGGTTTACAGGGAAAAAGAGAGACAGAGAGAAAGTACTTCCATCCATTGGTTCACTCCAGCTGCAGTGGCTGGAGCTGAGCTGTTTGAAGCCATGAGTTTCTTCTGGGTCTCCCATAAGCATGCAGGTTCTCAAGGCTTTGGCCCATCCTCTACTGCTTTCCCAGGCCACAAGCAGGGAAATGGATCTGCAGGGGAGCAGCCAGGACATGAACCAGAGCCCATATGAGATCCCAACCCTTGCAAAGTGAACAGCCTTCATGCCTGGCCCCAAGATTCCACCTCACCTCTTAAGAATAAGCACCAGGTAACAAGTGACTGAAGGAGGGAATGAGGAAGGCTGCGGCCTCAAGGGTCCAGCCAAGGAGTCGGACAATGGCACGAGACACTGAACTTGCCCAGACTGCCAGCTTTGGTGTAGCGTTTCTTTTGTTAACAAAATAATGTTAAGGACAAAGGGAAGTGCTTGTGATCTTCATGACGACATTGCCCTTAGCTTGCATTCTTCAACAACATCTTTGATCTTAACCATGTGAGAAGCCAGTCTTTTTTCTGAATGCTTACATCACCTCCTCATCTCCAGTCCAACTAGAGTGACTATACTTTCCATCCTGTATTTCTACCATTCTCCAAGTTCCTTGTGACTGCTGGCAATCCTCTCTGCATTCCAGCATTAGGTTAGCCAATGAACCGCTCTTTCATGATGCATTGAGTTTGTTCCTCTTGTGTGGGTTCAGTTGTGAGAAAGATACTCTTTTACTTGGGCAAAGCCTTTTTCTAGAACAATCTTCTAAGGAAAATCTTGTTCTAGCTTAAATGTACAACAGAGCACGCATTTGGTATCTGCAGACACTGTGCGGGGAGACCTTTGTGCACCAATGTTTTGTGACTGCCTTTGAAATGGAAATGCGGAGTCCATCCAGTGCATACACTTCTAAGTGAGCCACCAGGTTGTCACGATAAATTACCATGTCACTGGTATTAGCAGCTTACCTCTAAAATTTACTTGGTTTAGATCCAGACATTCCATAACACAGATAAATTTCCTTAGCTATTTGAGGAATATAATTTGCATAAAATTCATTTAGTGAATTCCAGGGAACATATGTTGCTTCTGACAATAAATTATCAAAATCTCCAAATCAAATACCTTTGAGTTAACTGTAGATTAATTTAAAGCCAAAACAGAAACTACATATTCTATGTTGCTTTACTGCAAGCAACGGTGTTGAAAGAAATTAAGAAATGTTACAACAATGGCTTTGGGCAAAGCAGGACACTGAGCTGATTTATTTCAAGCTTTGATGAATGAGAAGAGGCATAAACAAATGTTTACATTTTGGGGACCATTCAGTGTTTGTTAAAACGTGTGTATTTCTACGATGTCATTCAAAAACTCAGATTTCTTCCTAGCTCTGATTCCTTTAGTTTCCCAAAATACCTCTTAAAAGGTGTTTTGATAGTTTTAACTCTGCTGATTTAAAAGAGATCATGAATGCTTATTACAGAAAACTGTATTTGATGATTTAAAAAAAAAAAAATAAGCTGGCCACTGAAAGCTGTAAAGCATTACAGGAACTTTAGGAAATGCGATCTATTGCTGAAGAGTTAATCAATCTAGTTTAAGTGATGTCATAAGCATAAGAAAAAATGGATTCATTTAAAACTAGTAGCTATTACCTGTGGTGCTGGCATCCCAAATTGATACCAGTTTATAACTAAGCTGCTCCACTTCTGATTCAGCTCTCTGCTTATGAACCTGGGAAAGCAGCAGGAGATGGTCCAAATGCTTGTGTCCTTGTACCCACGTGCAAGACTCAGATGAAGCTCCAGGTTGCTGACTGGCATGGCCCACCAGGCTTGCTGGTATGACCATTTGAAGAAAGCCATGAGAATAAAAGACTTTCTCTCTGCCTCTGCTTCTCTTTGTGTAACTCTGCCTTTCAAATAAATAAATAACCCAGCTTCCTGCTAGTGGCCTGGGAAAAGCAACAGAAGTCAGCCCAAGAGATTGGGTTCTTGCTCAGTGGAAAACCCAGATGAGCTTCTGGCTCCTGGCTTCCACCTGGCCCAGTCATACCGATTGCAGCTATCTGGAAAGTAAACCAGTAAATGAAAGACTTCTCTGTCTCTCCCTCTCTCTATATATAACTCCAAATTCAAATAAACAAATAAATCTTTTAAAACATTACTTTGAAAGGCCTCAAATAAATGGCCTAACAATGCATCTCAAGGACTAGGAGCAAGAACAATCCAAACCTAAAATTAATAGGAGGAAAGAAATCATAAAAACTAGATAATTAAAACAAAATTGAAATGTAAAAGCAATCAGATAACAGATCAGCTAAATATTTGTTTTTTTAAAAAAAAATGAATAAATTGATAAACCATTGGGCCAACTACTCAAACGGGTAAGAATGTCCAAATCAATAAAATCAGAAATAAAAAGGAGATGTTACACCTGATGTCACAGAGACAAAAGGAACTATCAGCAAGTATTACAAATAGCTGTATGCCAACAACTTGGAAAATCCAAAACTAGATAAATTTCTGGACACACACAATCTACCAAAACTGATACACAAAGCAAGACATAGAAAACTTAGTATACCAATAACTAAGACGGAGATTGAATCAGTAATAAACACCCAACAAGAAAAGTCCAGGACAAGATGACTTGTGACCTGGGAAAGCAGCTGAGGACAGCCCAAACCCTATACCCACATGGGAGACCCAGAAGAGGTTCCTGGCTCATGGCTTATGACTGGCTTAGCTTTAGCAATTGAGGTTACTT